ATCATACATCCCTCTGCTTTTCACAATCCCGCTCGCCACAGCAGAACAAATCTGCAGGAGAAAGATATGCAGCAACTCGCACTTCTCATCCGCGACGGGTCCAGTCATTTCAACAAGCAGCCAACGTTGCCGAAACAATTTCTGAGGTAACAATCAATCCATCCGCTTCTGTCTCTACAAATGCTGATGTCGCAATCACTGCGTGTACGTCTATCGCTCCAACAAAACCAAAATCTCCTACGCCCACTTCTCTTATGTGCACTCCGGTACGCCTTTTCAATCCTTCCAGTCCCTCCTTGGAAGTCACAGTAGCCGCATTTTTGGACTCCGGTTCAAGCCAGTCATATATCACAGAAGAGCTAGCCGAACTTCTTCATCTTCCTCCCTTATCAACGGAAGACATTTCGATATCGACTTTCGGCACTATCACTCCTTTACAAATGAAATCAAGCAATCACGTCATTGGTATTCTCATGAAAAATGGAGAAAAACACTTGAACGTGAAATCAGTGCCAACTCTCACAGGCCATTTGAGACATATCCATCACGTCGAAAACACCAAGAATGGTGAAGCAGTCACTTCAACATGCAAACCGTCCATCCTCATCGGCAATGACTACTTCTGGGACATGGTGCTTTCAGATAAGTTCTATTATGAAATCCTTCCCAATGGATATCGCTTACTACATACGAATCTTGGCAAAATTTTTGTTGGAAAAGGCATTCAATTAAGAAACATTGCCTCATATTCTTCATTACTCAACGACGACATTGCCAATCCAGCCTACCATGATGAATTATCTCGCCTCGTAACCAACTTCTGGGAACTAGAAGCTGTCGGCATATTGGACAATCCTGCTCAAAAAGATGACGAAACATGTCTACAATTCTTCAACAATACCATTACGTACGACAACAAGGACAAGCGGTATGTTGTTAAGTTACCATTCAAAACGGATCCAAGACAACTTCCTGACAACTTCGCGTTGGCCTTCTCAAGATTCTCTAGCCTGGTGAACTCGCTGAAGAATAAGCCATCCTACATGAAAAAATATGACGACATAATAAAGGATCAACTACAGAAGAAAATCATTGAGGAAGTGCCGCCGTCGGAAATTTCAAAATCATCACACTATCTTTCCCACCACGGAGTAATAACTACCGAAAACGACGACATCAAAATAAGATGCGTCTTTGACGGTTCTGCTAAAACAAAAGGACACCAAAGCATCAATGAAATGCTCTATCGAGGTCCCGTACTACTACCGGATCTGGCAGGTATCCTTATCCGTTGCAGACTGTTGCATATTCTAATAATAAGCGACATCGAGAAAGCATTTCTAATGGTAGCCCTTCATGAGGAGTGTAGAAACTACACACGTTTCTTATGGCTCAAAGACATCTTGAAACCGATCACTTCAAGCAATATCGCCACCTATCGGTTCACACGAGTGCCATTTGGACTCATCTGTTCACCATTTCTCCTATCTGGAACCGTCCACCATCACATGACAACGACAGCGACACCGCTTTCTCTGGTCCTTCTACGAAACACCTATGTCGACAACGTTTTCCATGGTGTAAACACTGTGGCCGAAGGAAAGAAGTTCTACGCCGAATCAAAGAATCTCTTCCGACAAGCAGGCATGAATTTACGCAAATTTGCAAGCAATTCTTCAGAACTCAACAAGTTCTTCGAAACAGAAGAAAATGAAAAGGTTCCTGAAATTCAAAAACTGCTTGGAATCCATTGGCACCTATCCAAGGACAAGCTGTCAATAAAGTTGCCTCGGAAGCCCCCAAACGACGGTATATGGACAAAGAGAAAGATTTTGAAAGAAGTTGCTAGCATTTATGACCCACTAGGGTTTCTGACTCCATTCACACTCATCGGCAAACTATTTCTCCAATCACTCTGGAAAGACGATATCGGATGGGACGACGCACTAAACAAAGAACAAACTAATCAATGGCAACTGATCATCAATCAATGGACAACCTCTTCACTACAACTTGACCGTCAAATCGTCAACATAGAAATGCTACCTACATCAAGTTTCGACCTACACGTATTCACAGATGCGTCTGGGCGAGCTTACTGCGCAGTTGCATATCTCGTCCAACGTTGTCAGAAAAAACCTAACAAAGTTTCATTGCTAATGGCAAAATCAAGGCTTGCGCCACTTCATCAAACAATCACCATCCCACGCCTAGAATTATCGGCCATTGCCGTTGGTGCGAAGCTACTCACATTCCTGACGCAGCAACTCGATCTCCAACTTCGTCAAAAATATCTATGGACTGACAGCACTGTTGCGCTGACATGGACCAAAACTAACAAAACTCTCCCAGTGTTTGTTCGAAACCGCGTTAGAACAATTCGTGAACTCACCACAGATGTCGTCATCCGCTATGTCCCAACAAAAGATAATCCAGCCGACATCGGTTGTAGAGGCGCCACTATCGCAGAACTACAAAATTTGCCTCAGTGGTGGAACGGACCGACCTTTCTGACTCAAGACGAAGCAAGATGGCCACCGCTATCGCCCTCAGAAGAAAATCCTATATCCCAAGAACAAGATGAACCGCAAATAATTTCATCAGCAGCCCTACAACACTCTCTTCATAGAAGCTCATTAGTGGATTCATCACGATTTAGCACATGGACTTCATTACTCGATGCAATGATCTTTGTGCTACGCTTTATCGTAACTAAATCCACAAAAGCTGCATCATTCTTTGGAAGAAGTCGTGCACTTCTACGAGTTCGAGCAGAGCGAATCTTGTTCCGTGTCGCACAACAAGAGGACCCTCCGTCAGTAGAGCTACAAAAACAACTTAATCTCTTCTACTGTGAAGAAACACAACTCTGGAAATCTCAAGGACGAATCGACAATGCCCCCTTGCCTAGAGAAGCTAAAACTCCCGTATTTCTTCCTGCCAAGAATCACGTTACTGACCTCTTCGTCCTACATGTTCATTCTCAAAACAACCACTGCGGCGTTAACCATACACTCACTGAAATACGTCAACAAGTCTGGATACCTAAGGGAAGGACAACAGTGAAAAGGATCTTGAGAAGCATCTGCTTCTACTGCAAAAAATTCACATCGAAACCATACCAGCTACCGCCATTCCCACCGCATCCCATCAGACGAGTCACTCCACCTTCATATCCTTTCCAAAATGTGGGAATGGATTTTTTTGGACCAATGCTCTACCGAACACCAGACAATACGACGGAAAAATACTGGACTCTTCTACTCACATGTTTGAATACTCGCGCTGTTTATGTCGATGTAGTCCTCAATATGAGCAGCCACGCAGTTCTACACGTGCTGAGACGCTTTATCGCTACCGTTGGTTGCCCATCATGGATCCTCTGCGACAATGCACAATCTTTCAAAGCTGTAGCAGAATGCTATTCGACCTTTCCCGAAGGCCACATGGACAACGACATCATCGACTACTGCTCTAAAAAACGAATTCAAATCAAGTTTATCCCAAGTTTGAGCCCTTGGCAAGGAGGCATATATGAAAAAATGGTGGACGTCTTCAAGAAGTCTTTCAAGCATTCCGTGAGAAATCGTCTCCTACATATGGAAGATGTGAAGACATTGATGAAAGAGGCTGAAGCCATTGTGAACACTAGACCCTTGACCTACGTTGACGATGAGATCAACTACTTCCCACTACGCCCCATCGATTTTCTCCGTCCGCATGCACGACTAGCCGGACCCTATCCTCAAGAAGTTAGTGAAGAGTGGACTCCAACCACAACGACTCGCGACACCCTTTTGAAAGAATGGACACGCACCTCTGAATTGCTATCAAATTTTTGGAAACGATGGACTGTGGAATACCTTACCTCCTTGCGCGAACATTACAAAAACGAACATTACACCCCACGATCGCACGAATATGATAAACCTAAAAAAGGGGACTATGTACTTATCCACGATCCCTCCCTCGACCGAGGTCAATGGAAAATGGGACAAATAGTCGATTCTCAGGACGACTTCGAAAGATCTGTGCAAGTGCGACTACCATCTAAAAAGGTCATCACACGTCCACACAACTTAGTTTACAAACTGGAAATACAACCTGAGGAGTCGACGCTCTCACCTCCGCAACCAACATCTAAACCGTCTACCCACCCAATGATCACAAGATCAAAAACAAGACTTCAGTCGGCTTCAATGTTTGTCACATTACTAATGTGTATTCAAGTCGTCGGAGCAATCAACACCCGCTGCCCCGATGAGATGAACACCAAAAAAGTGATACTCTACGCCACGACATGTGTATCCCAAGGAATCGCGATCGCCAGATATAACGAATCCAATAAAGAGAAATTCTGCTGGTTCCCACTTACCTGTCCTCAAGGAGCTATAAGATTCGAAGGTCCAGGAAAACCAAATCTTGCACTCTGTGGAGAACGATGCAGATGCCCATCATGGTCTCAATCGTGCTCTTTTACTAAGAATTGGAGAACCTCGATGTCGACAACCAACTCAATACCGGAGCACATTCAAAATTATCGGCCACCATATGTGTGCTCATTTACAAAGTCATCAACTTGCGACTCTACCAAAAAAATCGGAGTTTTCAATCAAATCCAGTTATTCGACAACAGCACATTTATTGTAGAGACACTCACCTTGAGCATCCAAGATTACATAGATGAGAACGATTTCATTTGTGTGGACCGCAAAGGATGGATAAGGCGCAAGACCCGAAGAATAACAGGAACATCACGTTTTTGCGAAACGCACACCTGTCGAAATGATGCACAACTCTTTTGCACGTATGACAGCCCAATCGCCATTTTCGTCAGCAATAACGCACCGTCACATAACATACCGCCCATAACAGTGAAGGCCTGGGGAACCATTACTAAGACCTACTATGGATACCCATCAAAGAACACAACGAGATGGAACGAGTCTTCAGTCCAAGCATCAATACACACACAATGCTCCAAAGGTGGTTTAACAATTACAAGCAATACATCACTTCAACTAGTGGAATTGTGCGTCACGAGCTACTGCGTGTTTCTGAAAGAAGTCACATCACAGCAGGTTCTTTTCCCCAACATTCTTATCATGTATGCTTATGAAGTTCGACTGAAAGTCTGGAACTACAACAACGTCATACACGAAAAACACGTCAAATGTGAAGCACACCCAATATGTGAGACCCTACAATGTTTACTGTGTTGGGAATGGATATACAACACGCAGTGCTGGACGTACCGTCAAAGGGCGTACCTCATAATATTCTTCATACTCACCGTGCTCATAACTCCACCTTTGTGTCTACTTCTAAAGCTACTTATCAGAACTTCGTACCTGATGATACGTTCGCTTCGATACTTCATCAAATGTGCATGGAAAAGGAAAAAGCACAAGGAGGCCAACTTCAGAAGATATACAATTCGACGACGACACAATTCTCAAAAGAAACTCTTCACATGCACGATCATGATTGTCCTTCACATCCAGCTTAGCAAGGAATGTTCCCAGTTTACGTCAATAACAGCGGACGAACAAATTTGCACCATAACTAACGATACCAGGAACTGCGTTTTCAATCAAGCAACAATAATCACGCTGCAACCACTACAACAAGAAGCATGTCTGGAACTTCAAGATTACCAAAGCCAACATTTGGGTACCATAATCATTACCCTACTCGAGATACAATACCAATGTCATAAACGCATTGAATTTTTCTCACGAGATCATGAAATCGCATCAGAATCGAGCCATCGCTGCTTCATGACGGATAGCTGCTCAAAAAATGCCTGCGACAATATCAAGACGACAGATACGTTGAAAGAGTTTTCTTCTACTGCGAACAACAACCCAGGTTTCACATATTGTACCCCCACATGTGGTTGCTTACTCTGCAGCGGCTGTTTTCTATGCCATCCAAGCTGTTTATTTCATAGAATCTACGCCAAACCGACTTCTTCATCAATATACACCATTTTCAATTGTCCCACTTGGGACCTAACAGCCATCGCGAAGATCACCTTGACTCAAGGAACCAGTACAACTTCAACACAGATATCACTCACTCCAGGACACACAATTGTATGGAATGATCTACGGCTCACACTCATCGGATCTATCACGCCTCAACTACCAATACTTAGTTCAACATTCATGGAAACCAGTGACAACATCGCAATCGTCAAATCTGTTCACAAGGGACAACTTATACCTCACACAGCCGGTCAGCTCCAATGCGCCACATTACAAGATGCCAAAGATTTTCGATGTTTGTTCGCAAGCGAATCTTGCAAATGCGCGAACGGATTCCTCAAAGTCTCATGTAGTTGCCCGGATGGAAACATGAAAAGATTAATGGAACCTTCACCTCTACCACAGGCAGGAAAAAACTTCCTTATTGTTCACAATAACGGACACATTTTCGCAAAACTCAACATCGGCTCCGCCCTTCAACTACACATTGTAATGGAAAATCTGAAACTCATTGCGCAACAGCACAAGAGCTCCTGTATATTTCAAACGAGCGATTTAACCGGGTGCTACAGTTGCATCCCAGGAGCGATAATGGATCTCGCCTGTACGAGCGATGAAGGAGAGGTGACCGCCCTGATCACTTGTGAGGACCAATATCAAATTGCCAAATGCACTCCACGCACAAAACTCAACAAACTCGTTTTTCACTTTTCTACCAGTCACGTATACACTTCCTGCTCTGCTTCGTGCCCGGGAGGGTCTGCCAACATAACCATCAAAGGAACTCTGGCTTACGTGGACGATAACCTCATCAGCCGCGGATCGAGTGTTGCCAGCGAAAGAAGAACTGCTTCAAGTGATACGTCATTGTATGCAAGAATAGTAACAAAATTCACCACTCTCTTATCAGACATCACTCATTCTGTGCAATCCTTTTTTCTGAGTCTTGTGACTGTGAAAAATGTTCTCTTATTATTCGTAGTCTTGCTTATTCTGAATCTTATCTCTTGTGCCTACCGTACTATTTTTCACACGGTGATCTTATCGAAAAAGATCCACTAGCTTTCGTCCTTGGGGAGTTTCTGTGCCTTCACAGAATACTTTCATATGCTTCTTCTTCTTCTGCTTATTCTTTCTCCGGATTCTCACTTACATGGTCTTTATGATATGAGCTATTTTTGGGGCCTTAACAGATTTACATTTTCTCGCATGGTGTTGGTCTTTTGCTCTTCTTGGCCGAAAGCTCTAATCAAAATTCCGAACGTGCTTCAACATCACGAGATAGTGTTCCTATACCGGAGAGTTGTGGAATCTTTGCCTGATATATAAACTGAGCTAAAATGTCGAGGAGCAGCGTCGAATAAAGCGATCACTCTCTCTCGTCTTCAAGCAGCAGAATCGTCAGACGCTCGCGGCTTTCCACATCAATCATAGTGATACAACGAGATTTTTTTCTGGTGTAGGTGTCGGCGCCAGAGAGGAAAGAGGTCAGCGTCCGTTGGCAAAATTCAGGGATACAAGGTGATACGGACGACCTAGCGTCCAGAGCCTCAGAATTTTTCTCGGATTTTTCTGTCCGCCGCTAAAGCGTAAAGAAGCGCGATGTGTCTTGACTTTCCCTCATTTTATCAGTGTTGCATCAGTTTGTGAAGGTTGACTTAATGTTGACTGTGACATCGCTTATAGGGGTTCTGCTGCCTCTCCACCTCCACACCAAATTCTAAAAGCCCAACTTGACACGAACTTGAACTTTCCCATAGGTCCTATTTCCCAAGAGTGTTGAGCTAAGCAACTATCGCGCGTCTTGCTTATTTTTGTTCCACAAGCCGTTCAGCCGACAAAATGATGGATCGAGTCATTGGATAAGGACTCGTCTACGTTACCTAAAATGATTATGCAGCGTGTGGAGGAACCGCCGGATAAACGTATGCAGGATCTGATATTAACGCTTTTTGGATAACCGCTAGCGTAAAGCTCGTGATTGCACTCCGGGTGATCCGGATCAATACTAAAAAAAAGTCTAGGGGAGGATGGGTAGGAGTGGAGGCGTAATAACTTCGTATAGCATACTTTATATAGCGAAGTTATACGAACTGACTTGTACATCGGCTGGCCCCCGCAAGTCATTGTATAGGCCACATCGCATTCAAACGCCACTACGAATGTACAAATGGAAGTAGAATGCGTGCCGCATCCCAAAAAGGGATTGATCAACGGCAAATGCTTTATCCTTTATCCTTTAACCAAGAACCTTAAAGAGGGGAGACCAGGGTCAAGCGTGCGTTGAGGAATCCTCGACACGTCACAGGGGGGGGGTCGTATTGGCCCGCTGGGAGGAAGAGATCGGGCCGGATTGACGCATTAGTTACTATTACATTATTCTAATTTCAATACTGATTAGAAAGAGCTCTTCACAAAACTCCCAAATCTGCTTTCAGATTGAAAATTCGTTCATATTTGAAGAAAGTTATAATCATTTGAATATTTGTTCAAATTTCAATAGTAGATAAGCTGCTCCACGGTCAACGCCAAAGATCAGTCAAGCACACAGCTGGCTAACGCTAAGCTGGAATGTTCGAGTTTACACTGTCTCGCTCGAGAGAGCCCAGGTGAGCAGACTGCCGCGCCGCCGCGTGCCCCCCCCCCCAACTAAGTTAGCACCCTTTTTTATGAACAGTTTTGGGGAGAATTAAACAACCTTTTCATAGTTCGGCTTTTGAAGAGGGTTCGTTTCATGGACTTCGGCCTCGGCGGAGGGAGGGAGGGGGGGGGGTCGTATTTCCAAATTTTCCTCGACGCCTCGCTTGACCCTGGGGGAGACCACCGGGCCCGTGAGCAATCGTCGTTTCCCCGGGAAGGCTTCCTCTCCCTTCCAAGGCTTGTCCCAGGTTCAGACTACGTAAAATACTTTTGTAAACCTTGATGTTACCCAGTAAAAGACTCCATAAGTTATACAAACAAACTGAAAAAATAAAGTACGAAAAAATCTGATAGCATCTCGTAACATTAAATGACTCCTCGAGCAGACTGTGCCCTGCAATGCCCGCTCTTACCGGATAATTCCCGATCAATAAATTAATCCGATCTCCTAATGTAAAGCGCTACAAACACCACTGCCTTATTTCCTTCACACACTGGCTCCATTTTCACCTCTTCAAGGTGGGCTTCTGTGTTTTAAGGGAAGGAGCTGAGATGAATTGTTGAACTTTTTTGCTTTCATCACAAGAAAGTACTCGGTAACATTGTCAAGATTTATCGAGTGTTCTCAGGCATTTTCCTTGAAAAATGACTTGCTACTGCCCGCTACTGGTACTGCCTGCTCCACCTTGCTGAGTGGACGCATCCGAGTTTGAACGTACTATTGGTTTTGGTGGCTTCTGAAAACTTCCATATATTGAATTCGTTTGAAATAGTTTTCCACACTTTTTCGAGGGATAGCTCCAGAATTCAAGTCTTTGTTCTCAGGGTAAGGCAGATTAGTTTCTAAAAAACTGTTGGAAGCGCAGTGCTGCGGCTGACAAACATTCATATGGGCCACTTTGATGCCCAAAAGCTGTTGTTGCTGCTGTCCGCGGGTCAGTCCTATCGTTGCTACTTTTCGAAAAGTTTTTACGACCCCCCTCCTTCAGGAAAAGTTCCCTACGCGAACCCCCCCCTTTCCGAACCAAAGTTTTACCCCAAAAAATTACCGTCGAGCGGGGGGGGGGGGAGGGTATATAGTTCTTGAAAAAAAACGCAAAATTTCCTACAGCTTTGCAATTTATGTTACATATATTCCCCTGCTTCGCATTTCTAGGGGAGTACGCGCACTGGAACGGCAAATTTTCTCGCGGCGCTCCTCTCATCCACTTCTTAACAACTCAGCAAGTAACGATGCTCCTAATCACATAAATTCGACCCTGTTTCTACTGTAGTAAACGATAAAGTTCCTCACCTCCTGCAGTGCTGTATCACCTGTATCACCTGTCGTCCCGTTGATCATCGAATTGCTCGAGCGGGCGCCAGCAACGTCTCCATTCGTCCCTGTCGCGTGCAAGAGTTGTCCAGTGGACCCTCCTCGCTCGAGGGACACGATGTCCTTCATTCCTTTCGTTCAGAGCTTTCGTGAAGAAGTCTGACCATCGGGCCGGCGGTCGTCCAGGTGTTCGTTTGACGTCCCGAGGGATCCAGTCGGTAACCGCTCTGGTCCAACGGTCATCGCAAAATCGCATGACGTGTCCGGCCCACCTTATCTTCGATTCCTTGGCGAAAACGGCAGCGTCCCTGATCTTCGATCGTTGGCGTAGTTCGGCACTCCGGATTATAGCTCTGCACTGGCTGTTAGGGTTCCTCTTAGCACCGTCTCCGCACGCGTTGAGTAACCTGACCGCATTTGCTGGAATATCTGCTCTCGAAATTTGTGAATATACTGTTCAAACAGTTCTCAAATTAATCAACCTGAGGCAGTTGTCACAAGTGATTTTGTGCAAACTATTTTTGCCCAGCTGGATTCGTACCGGATTTCTTTGGTCTCGGGGCATTGTACTCGTCAGTTGCACATCGGACTCATCATTTCAAATTCACCCACGTAGCTTTCGCTGCTAAAGTACCTACTCTTATTAATCTTCCAGCATGCATATGGCTAACATGCTCAATTTTCATGGTGTATATCTTTCACCTGAAAATCCGTTACGTTACCCTTTTCCAAGAAAAATCATAATTTTAGTTTTTTTTTCGTGTTTTCGTGAGTCATATATGCAAAGAAGGCCTCTTATGGGAAGTGTAGAGACACGAAAGTTTCCGTGCGCAATGCCTTCGAGTAGTAATTGAAATAAAACCAACGTGTCGAGGATTTCTGAGGAAATCGCTAAGCACTCCTATACGATTGCGGAAACGAATCACGTCGGAAATCGTTGGTGAACGACTCCTGCGTTGTGGTGTAAGCCGTGAATGAGCCGAACTGGAACGAGCATTCGGATACACATTCGATGAGGAGCCTGTGTGCGTGAGTGAGATGAGGTTGGAGGCCAAACACGAGGTCGCCGATGCCGCTTTCGTGGCCAAGAGTTCACTGCGATTGATGATCGTTGAGGTACGGGTCACAGTTGGTTCCGAAGCGAGTGAGACGTCTGAAAAATATTAATTACTATTATTTTTCATTTAAATTTTGAATCTTTAAATTTTATAAATAATTATGTTACATTGTTTGATTATTGATTGTTTCACATTGGACTGCATACGAGAGCACTCCACAAATCTATAACTGAAGCCGAGCTGACTACTAGATGTGCCTCATTCTACTGCTAGAATTGGTGGTGGATGGGGAAGAAGGGGGTGGAGCAGTCGCCGCCGCGGCGCGCAGCATGTTTGTGGCAAAAGTTGGAATGTGCGAGTTCACCCTACCACTGAGAAGGACGCAGACATGCCGCGCGCCGCGGCGGCTAGCCTTGCCGTGGCCGGCTTTCCCGTAGAGGAGCTGAAGCTCATTCAGGGCTCATGTCTCGAGGGGGGGGACATTCAAAAGAGGGCATGCAAAAAACGCTGGTTTGTGACACACTAAATAAGCCATCCATAGGGATGTGGCGAGGTGGAAATTGCGCTCTACAGCCGCCCACGGCCATTCACCCCCCTCTCCCCCCAAACCCTCCACCCCATCTCCTACATTTTTTTTACTTCAAGGCTAGAGGTACGCTGGGTTGTACGCTAGAGAGAAGAGGCGTGAATCCCATGTGCAGCATGCCGTTGTCGCGAGCTCGTAGCAATTTGAAGCGCTGCAGACTCACATTGGATTGAATGGACGTCCCAGGCCGGCGATTGGAGATATAGTGGAGGTCACGCGGAACTTCTTGTCTTCTCCCAAGTCGCCCTGAAAGCGTTGCGTCAATTATGTACTGTATAATATATCTTGACCAATGTACAGAACACTGTTTTTAAGAATTCCCTGGTTTTCCTCTCTAGAAGCAAAAATCTCACCGGACGAGCAAGGCTTGAGACGATCATTCTGGCCAAGTCTCGAGTAGCTTTATCCGTCTTACCAGGATAAGGCGTGAATGGAGGACGAAGCCGACCTGCAAAGAGCGGAT